TCTGTCCGAGGCCGTGGGCCCAATGCAGAGCCCAGGGTGTGCACCTCGCTCCTCTGCAGGGCGAAGATGCCAGCTGCCCACTCAGCCCTCTCTGCCCTCTGTCTGCCTCGGTGTCCCCTGCACAAGGGAGGCTCGTCCCAAAAGAGCACAGCTCAAGGAGCCATGATGATGATGTGGTCCGTGGCCCTGGGCATTTCTGCCCGGTCTGTTTTTGGAGACAGCAGAGCCGCACTCAGGACCGACCAGGCGTGGAGGTCAAAGCCAGGCGTCGCCCTCCCAGTGCCACAATGGAGGAGGGCAAGGGAAGCTTCGTGCCACATCCGCCCAAGTGCAGGCTCGCGGGCCCGGGCGGGAGCGTGGGAGCAGAGGCAGGAGAAACTTCGCCCGTGCTCCCTGGGCTTCTCACTGCAGGGAGAAAGCCGCGGCTCCTGTGTGCCAGCCCAGCGGTTTCAACTCCTGAAACAGCTCAGCCAAGAGGCAGAAAACAGGAAGTGGGAGGGCAGGGGTGGGTCAAGGTGGGGGGATGAGGATGCCTAGCGAAAAGCCACACTTGGAAAGAATCCGGTGTACCCCGACAAGATGGGGGAGCCGGGGGTCCTTCCCCGAGCCCCCTGTCTGCAGAGCAGTATGCTGAAGCTCCAGGATGTCACGGTGTGCAATGGGGAAGGACAGTGAGCAGAACATCACCGCTCAGGAGAGCCAGGCCTGCAGTGGCTCCTGGACTGGGAGCTCGCTTCACCTGCAGGCCTCAAGATGCATCCGCCATCACATCCCACACCCTTCCAGGCCCAGCCGCACCCGGGACCGCAGGGCATCGGAGAGCTGCGCCTCTCCAAGTGGGTCTCCAGGTGGCCCAGCCACCCGCAGTGACTGAGCCAGTGCTGACCCTCCCAGGGGATGGGGCAGCCTCCATGTCCCTCAGAAGAGCATGACATAAATTTTCAGTGGGAGGAATTCAGATCAGACAACCAGAGCAGCCTGGAGCACCATGGCCAGCGCACTGTGGCAGGGTGATGGGCAGGAGCTGTGCACCCCCGGTAGGGTCCTTCCAGCCTGTGCGCCTGGGCGCCAGCTTTGGAGCAGGGAAGGGTCCTCCACAGGCGATGGCTTCAGATGCAGCTGGCCACGCTGTCAGCCCTGAGGAGGGAGGTGCAGCGCCTCCTGGTGAGGACGCACTGGCCCTGGGGACGCCGTGGGTCCCAGTCCAGCCTAGGTCGCCACTTCCTTCCTGAGTAGCCTCTGCAGGCACCTGGCCCACGTCCTCCTCTGCAGTCGGGGCCTCAAGCTGCTCACTCAGGGACCTCAGGACTTGGCGCTCCGCACAGCCTGGCTTCCCGTGGTCAAGCCCATGTGTGACTATTGACGACCCTGCAGGTTGACCTTAAGTAATGTGCCAGAGTCCCTGGCCAAGCACGGGACCCCGAGCGCGAAGGACAGCCTGCCACTGGACACCTATGGGGACAGGCAGGCAGAGAGGACCTGGGGCAGGACTGGCCATGCTGGAAGGGCGACGCCCACGTGAGGCACAAGCAGGGACACTGCCTACACCAGGCTGAGCTTCCAAGGGGTGTCCAGCAGTGACTGGGAGGCTGGGGCCAGCAGGAGTGGTGCAGTGGCCTGAACAGTGTGGATCAAGGACACAGATATCACGGACAGGGAATCCGAGCAGAGTGTCAGCAGTGGCCTCAGAAGGTGCACTGGGATGGAAGGGCTGGGCACGGGGCGCCTGAATGGCAAGGGCCGTCCTGGGACCCGAACCACGGCACAGAGGCCAGCGGAGCACAGGAACTGCACCCAGGTGTGTGGCCACCTGCTCTCAGAGGCCAAGTGCAGGCATTGGGATCAGCCCTGCCCAGGGTAGAGCTCAGGAAGGACACACAGCCACGTCAACAAGGGGAGCGGTGGGCTGCGGTTGGCAGCAGCTCACGCAGACTCTGCACAGCCCTCTGCTCCTCTCCCTGGGCTAACGGCAGAGCACACACCAAGTGTGTTTGACCCAAGACCAGCTCCTGCTGCCAGGCCACATCTGGAATATAGTAAGTGCTCGATAAACGCCTGTTGGCCGAATGGCTGGGGATGGGCCACGGGCACACTGGGGGACCCACAGAGACAAGCACGAAGAACGGGGTCCCCCTAGCTGGCTTCGTACTCCCTCCTCCCCTGCGAGCACCTTGTCCCAGGGAAGCAAAGGTCCAGCAGAGGTGCTTCCCTTGGTGGGGATGGCTAACCCGGGCCACACACCCTCCCCAGGGAAGTCGGGACCGCGGAAAGGGACTTCAGCAACTCTCTTGGTCTGCTTTAGGTGGAAGGAATCCCAGAGTGACAGAAGTGGGTTCCAGCTGAGAAAGTGAAGCCCCCTGGTGCCTTGGGTTTAGAAATATATTTATATCTCATGTTTCCATGTATGCAGTCTTTCTTTTGTGTGTGTGTGTGTTTGGGTTTGCAGACAGGGTCGTCTCACTTTGTAGTTCAAATTGGCCTTGAATAAGCAGCTCAGGCTGGTCTTGAACTTGTAGTGATCCTCCCGCCTCAGCCTCCCAAATGCTTGGATCACAAGCATGTGCCACCCCACCCAAGAAAAATTCTTAACAGGGTGGTGGGTCCACCTAGAGCTGACCACTTTACAAGCCATTGACTGAGAAAGATGACAATGCAAAGATGTAAAGATGACAATGACTCACTCAAAAACCAAGCAGTTTTTTCCCCTTGCCTGTCTGGCCCACTTTGACTTAGCCGGCTTTGAGAGAACCAGGGCACAGGGCTGACACTACCTAGAGACTTTCTGGGGAGTCAGGAGACTGGGGAAATCCTGGCTCCGAAAGTAGACGTCCGTCACCAAGGTGATGGGATGCAGACACCTCTAGTGGGACAGAGCCCAGGAGGGAGACCAGGCCCTGCAGGAGGCTCTCAGCTGTGCCGGAGGATTGTTATTCGAGCTTATGCCGTGACCTTTCCTTCTGGACAAGTACGTTCTCTTCCACTTTCCAAAGGTTAGGAGGTTTTGGTTAAGAAATACATTTGCAGTGATGTTAGGAAAACAGAGCCATTCCAAAAGCCTCAAAGTGTGCAAAGAAAGAGTCCATCGTGCTGTGCCAGGTTCGTGAGAGCCCGGCCTGGTGCTGGTGTTTGCGCAGTAAATGGGTAATGTTTACCCAGTGCGCTCTGCGGTCGGGCTTGTATAAATAACAGGCAGACAGACAAGGAAGCCCAAACGCAGAGAGCACTCTGGAATGTCTCACTGGCTGCTGGAGTCGTGGAGAAAGAATGCTTTCCACCCAAAAAGGAAAAAGAGGATGCGGCCGTGACCCATGGGGCTGCTGGGTCTGGGGAGGACAGACTCGGCCAAGCCTGTGCACCTGCCTGGTGCAGGTGCCTCCACAGAGTGTGTGAAGAGAAGCAGGGGGGAGTGGAAGGGGCTCCTGCTGGTGCTGTTGGTGGGTGCACGGGACCCCTCCGGTTGCTGGTACCAACAGGAATGTTTCCAGAGGCCCCCGAAGATTGTCCAAGGGTTGTAAGCGGGAGGGAGGGCTGCAGGACCAGAGTGGGCCCTTGAAACAATGGCTGCCCTGACTTCGGGTTAGGCCCCTCCTGGCATCAGCCAGCCGGTCATCAGGAAGCAGAAGGAGCGCACCTGGCTGCAGCCGGGATCCGCCACGCCTGCCTGGCCCACTGTGCCACGCCTCAGGGCTCGGACCGGCCGTAACCACGCGACCACCATCGACCGCCGTGTCCACGGTGGCCGGAGGATGCGTCCAGGGTGCCTTCTGGGATCTTCTGGACCTGAAACCTTGGGCTGCCCCATGCAAAATAATTCAGTTTTTATGAAACAAAATGGGCTTTACAGTGTTTCCTCTTGGAAATGGAGGGCCCTTTCTGGGAGGAAACAGAAGGGGAGAGAAAAAGGGAAGAGGGATGAAGAAAGCAAGGGAGGAAGGAGAAGAGGACTGGAGTGTGAGGCTCCTCCCTGGTCCCCCCGATCCCTTCCTCTCGGGGCCTCACCACCCATCACCAAGTCTGCTCCACTGCCCTGGCCACAGGTGAAGACCCAGCGGGCACTGCCTGTGGCTTTGCCCTCCTGCCCGAGGGTCCGAGGAATGAGCCCCTCTTGCCACCTGCACCCGGAACCCAGAGCCTGGGGAGGACAAGGGCCCGGGTGCCCTGACTTGACTTGCTGCTCCAGTGACATCTGGGCTGGGCTCCTGGCCCGAGGCCACCCTGCTAGCCAGTGTCACTGTGGCTCTCGGGGGTCCTCCTTGCCCTTCCCCCACCACACACAGGTCTCTGCTCCTCTCCCCCAACCTACCACATTGGGGACATGGCTCACGCAGGACGTGGGCAAGGCCACGCCCCTCTGCCCATCTGGGCCCGCCCGCTCCAAGCTCTCCTCCAATGGGCTAACAGAAGCCAGAGGCAGGTCTTCCTGGGACCCTGACTGACACCCACCAGAAGAAGTACATGGCGGGGCACAGAGGCAGGTCAGAGTGGGCTTTGTGCCCACCTCGGGGACAGCTGCCCAGAAAGGACCAAAGTGACTGCAGTGCTGGTCGCAGCACGCATTATTTGGGAGAAATCCAGAAATGAGCAGGGGAGAGCGGTCAGCAAGCGCTCACATGCGGTAATGAGTCGCCTGGCTGCAGGGGTATTTGTCAACCCAAGGAGCTGGAATGGCTCACGAAGGCTGGACATGTACAAGGCCCTGAGGGGACAAAGGGTGGACCCTGAGAAAAGCGCCTAAATGGCAAAGGCCCTCACTAGCCAACGGCAAGCCTTTAGGACGGTGCCCCCACAATCAGGACGGGTCTCTGTCTTGGTTTGCTGGCCTGCACGCCAATCATCGCTGGAGCCAATCACCTCTGGAAACACCACACAGACACACTCAGGCGTGCTTTACTAACCCTCTTGATGCTTCTCCTTCCTGTCAAGTACACAGCTCCTGACTCAGGTCACCTTCACTATCTAAGCACATGCAGCGGGGAGACCCCCAGGGCAAATCCCCAAGTGGAAAAATGAAACGTGCGACCCAGTCAGTGGGGACTTACTTTTCCAGTCTGTCCCACCAATCCGTAGACACCTGACATTTCTGCTTTTGACTGCAGGTGTAATAAATACTACTGCTTTTTGTTTCCTTTATATTTTTCATTTTGTCTCACACGAGAAGCAAGCTTTGCTTGTGGTTCACAGCTGGCCTCCAGGGGTGAGAGATGTCGGAGGCAGCCAGAAAGCTAGTCAGGGTGCTGTGTTCTTGACCCTGTTCCCGGCTCAGGGCCCGAGCTGTGTGGCCGAGAGCCATCAAGCCTGTGGCCGCCTCTCTGCACCCTTATCTGCAAGGCACAGGCCCTGAGAGATAAAGTCACGCCACAAAAGGACTTTGAGGGGTGACCGACATCACCAGGACAAAGAATTATCATTCAGTGGGAAGGATGGGCTGATCGAGTGGAAACCCGGCATCTCGCACCCTGCATTCAGTGGCAAGTCTTTGCTCCTTCCGAGTCGGGACAAAACTTGTTACCAAATTTTCACCCAGAGAAGTGAGGCCAGAAATCTGCCCTTTAACACAAAAGCAGCCTCTAAAACCAGGTTCTGGACTGGAGCCCTGGCTCCGCCTTCTCAGCCATGCGGACGCAGGTGCCGGGGTGATGTCTCCTCATGCAGAGCACACCTGGACGCAGTCGCCACCTCCACCTGCTCCCAGGAGGGGCTGCTTGCGGCCGTCAGCACCTCAGGCTTGCTTTGTAGATTTGCCCACTGAGTCCTCCAAGAGATTTGGAGATTTCAAGCCTTTAAATAACAAACGACTGCCTAGCATCTCATGAATGTGATCTTGGGGCATTTCCACATCCTGTGTCACCAGGCCTGGGAGGCTGTGGCTCCTTGCTGACCGCAGAGGCTGTGGAGACATGGCTCTGGCACCTGGGAGCACAGCGTGAGCCAATGCAGACACCTGGCTCCTCCAGCACATCCAGCCAGGACAGCAGGCTCACCTGGCAGGCGGCAAGAGGCACTGCTGGGTCAGGACCCGAGGTCTTGATCCCTCCGGGTCATCCCTGTGCCCTCCGATGTTTGAGAAAAATTGGTTTCAGGGGCGATTGCTAGAGGGGGGAAGAGAAGAAAGGATCAGCAATAAGGACAGAAGTTTTACTTGAGGATGTTTTGCCCAGGGAGCAACGAAGGGAAAGTCAGAGACACAGGTTTCAGTGCAAATTCCTGCCATTCTCTGCTCCTCCTGGCCTGGCCTGTGCAAAGGGTCGCCGACCCCATGTAGCCACTTGGATCCCTGCAGGCAGGAGGTCAGACCACCAACCCGTCTGCTGTCCCGTGAGAAAGAGGGAAATCGGCTGCTTCCCTGTCACCCTGTGCAAAGCAGGTGAGAAAATTGTCATGGATTATCCAGGGGCAACCGCCGGGCCAGGGTGGCCGCTGCTGGCTGCAAACCTGTGCTTGGCATAGCTGGATGGACCTCACACCTGTCTCTCACAGCCGCTCCGCTGTGTGACCCAGATAAAGCTGGAGCCAGGCAGAGCCGGTGGAGACAGGCACAGTGCTCGAGCTATGACTTCAGAACCTTAAAATGAGTTCCTCTCGGCCAAGCGCATTCCCCAAGGTCTCATATCCCAATATGACACCACCTCTCCTTCCCAGGAATCCACAGGCCCTGGCATCCCTGTCCCCCAGTGGCCAAGTGGTGAGAAATCCACCCTTGGGCACCAGCACACGTGCCCCCCCACACACACACCCCGGCCCTGAACTCATCTCCCTGCCTCTTTGGACTGGAGATGCTTAAACCCAATTTGGTTTCCTGGAATTCTTCCCTCCCCAGCACAGCCTCTGGGAAACCAAATTTTTTCCTTTTTCACGGAGACCGGTTTTGAATAAACACTGCCCTTCAAGAATCCACTGTCCTTCAAATAAAGCATGTGTGAGTAGTTGCCTAAATCCAGCCTTATTGTATTAAAGATGAATTTTAAAGTCTGATCCCCATTCCCCACCCGGCCTGGTTTAAGCGTAGGCAGCCATGGAGACGGCCCCGGTACAGGCGCCCAAAGTCACTGGCTGCTGGCCCCCTCTGGAGACTTTGGGAGTCCAGGTCAGGCTTGGGGTGTCCCCTAACAAGATGAAGTTCTGCATGGAACTCTTCTTGGTATGTTTCAGGCCATGTATCAGGAGGGTGTTAGTCAGCTTCCTGCTCCTGTGACAGTTTCCTGGTAGGGTGAATTTAAAAGGAGAAAAGTTTTTACCTGGCTCCCAGTTGCGGATTTCTCTTCAGGGTCCGTTGGCCTGTGGCTTTGGGGGCTGTGGCAGCCCGGCACAACAGGGCAGAAGCACATCCACAGTGCACAGGGATCACAGTGCTCCCGGGGACCTGGTGTAGGTACAGAGCACATCTCAGCTTTTTCCCACCCTGTCTTGGTTCCCATTCCATTTGCAAAAGTTCTATCTCCCTGCTTCCTATGACTTATCTTCTCCTTTGTTCATTATTTATTCTTTGGGTTTTTCATATATGAGAAACCACACAATATTTAAACTGTGCGTCTGATTTATTTCATTACGGTCGGTCTATTTATTTCAGGACTCCAGTTTCTCCTTCTTCATGGCAGAGTAGTACTCCATGGTGTATAAATACATGTACTTCACTTAGATCAAAGCCCACTGAGACGGACTTAGGGCTTGCTAGGTCCTCCTGCTGGGGTTCAAGGGACCCCCATCCAGCACGACGCACCGTCAGGCTCAAGAGAATGAGGGAAACACTGACAGAGGGATGAGCCACCCTGTGTGCGACTCACAGACCAACACACACATGCATGTGCTCACACACACAGGCAGCGCCGAGGCCCTGTGAACACCAGAGCGTCAGTGAGCTGAGCCACAAGAAAGTCCCAAGCACTGTGCCGAGGGTGGAGGCAGGCGGTTAGAGGCCGGAATAGGGAACACCCAGGGGGACGCACTGTGATCCAGAGGAGAGCAGAGGAGCAGCCTGGAGGGGCGGCCAGGAGGAAGCAGAGAGCCAGGTTAGGACCAGGGACACAGGAGCCCGGGGGTGGGGGTAGAAGCCCAGGGACCTCTCAGGCTGGAGGCAGGGAGACAGCAGTCCGCCGTGAAGTCTCCACAGACGGGGCCGGGCTCCAAAGGGAGCCACACTGCCTGTAATCCCAGCACTCGGGAGGCTAAGGCAGGAGGATCACCGTGAGTTTGAGGCCAGCCTGGGCTACACAGCAAGACCCTGTCTCAGAAAAGAAAGGAGGGAGGAAGGAAGGAAGGAAGGAGGAGAAGGAAGAGAAGAAAAGGCTGCTTCACAAGCTAACAGCCTGGTTCCAGTGCTGCCCAGCCCCACGGACAGAAGAACCACCTTCAGGGCTCCCACACCACATTCCTCCTCCCCTGAGGGAGTATCGCTCTCCCCACACCATGAGGCTATCATCACTGCACAGAACTAGTGCCTTGAAAGGTGCTATTTGGGACTAATCCGAAACTGGCTATTTCCAACTCTTCATTTGAATCTGGTGCTATACACAGGGCCAATCAGAAGATGGTCTTTTCCATCTTTCATTTGCATGTGGGCACAGCCAATCAAAAGACACTTCCTGATTCTTCATTTACATAGGGCAGGAAGCCAAGTGAGCTTTTGATGGGACAGTTACACAGGGTGTGAGGCTGAGAGACAGCATTCGATAGGACAACCATCTAGTGCTTTTGCATGAGAGAGACATAGGCTGGGAACTTGGGATACAAAATTCAAACATCCTGGGGCCACCCTGGGTCTTCACCAGCCCTCTAGTGCCCTGCAGAGCACACCCTTTTCCAACTTCAGTAATGTTCCCTGTCGCTGCCTTTTCTGTGTGTCCTGTCCAGTCCTCTGTTCGGGACCCAGGAACGCCCACCTGGGGACAGCAATGCCAGCACCCTGGGAGGGTGCAGTTCAACTTGATCGTCTTTGCAATCAACAGGGGTGGGTGGAGCAGGCTGCCTGGCATGGCCTTGGGCCCACAACCGTGGACTGATCCACAAGCAAATGAAATCTCTCCACCTTTAAATTGCGGGTATTGTATTGTGTCTCTGGGATGAGAAGGCTAATGTAACTGGGCTCTGGTGTTCCTTAAACACACGGACCGTTTTAGGGAGTGTGCCTTGTCTTATATCTGCTGGCGGCTCTGTCTTGGACCACTCGTCCTGACACGAGCTCAGGAACGGTCTTGACCTTCTGCTTCCTTGAGGGAAAGGAGCCGCTGGTGCACGTGGTTACACTAGTCCTGTTGGTGTCCTTGTGGAAATGTAGCTGGAGACGTGGATCCTCCAGGCTGGTGGCACCAAAATGCGAAACCCTTGCCTGTGTTGTACAATTCAGGGAGGAAAGGCCAGAGACCACGCTAGAGGACAGAGGAGAATGCTTTACGCTCTGTGACTTGGGGGGCACCTGTGGCTGCAGAGGTGCCGAGTCATGAGGGGCTGTGGAGGACACATGCAGGGCCTGGTGGCTCCTCAGCGGCAGTGAGTGACTGGAGCCGAGTCCTTGGAGCTCCGTGCTCTCCAGACCTGCGGCCTCCCTCACACCAGGGACAGTTCCGCTGCCAGCCCTAAGCCCATGCTGTGACTCGAGCTCTGTCAGAGGCCGTGTCCTCGTCATCCCGACCTCCAGGCAGGGCAAACAGGAACTCGAGCCTGGGCTGTGACAAGTATGCAAAGGACTCTCTCTGCCCTTGGAGCGGACCTGCGTTCATGCACTTTGGGAGGAATCTCCCTGTACCTGTCTCAGACCGCAAGGGACAGCTGAGCACTGTGTCCTGGGCTCCCGGGCGGTGAGCGCAGAGAGCAGGTGGAAAGTAGAGATTTCACAGCGCTCCTCAGGCCCAAAGACAGGAAGGAGCCAGTGTGAACACAGGCTAAAAACACCGTGCGGGCCTCAGCCATGGGAGGGACTCTGGCCCATCCCGCAGTGTGAGGGAGAGCTGGGTTTACACTGCACAGCTAGAAGACGTCTGGCGAAGAGCAGGGAGGAGAGCCATCCCCGTGTCCACCGAGCACACCCGCGTGGAAGGCACCGGTCCCATCGGCGACACGGACAGCACTGCACGAGCACAGGATAGGGGAGCGTCTGTGTCCACAGGGTCGCCTTGCTCACCCCACCAGGCCGGGGTCAGAGGAGGGTGGCGCGGGCCGTGGGCTGCGCTCATTTTCTCAGCATTCTCACCGGCAGTTTTCGTCTCTGAAACAAAATCCTCGAGAGAAGAGACCGGAAAGGGGAGGGGAGGGGAGGGTACTGGAGACTTGGTCCGTGGTCAGCCGCCTCCATGGTGTGGCTGCGCATCGGGCAGGAGACAGGAAAAAAGGGTGGAACAAGACGGAGCCGCTTACCCCAGCTAGGCCCTTCCTACGGGCCTGCGGGCCTGGTGGTCTCCTCTCCAGGCATCACAACGCCCTTCCAGGTGGCGCTCAAGGTCGCTTGGCTGGGAACTACGCAGCCTCAGGGTTGTCGCATCTCAGGCAATTGTTGCTGCTGTAACAAAGAGGTCCGGTACCGATAAGCCACGCACACTGCTTTCCCCAGCTTGGAGGCTTCGTGCCCGAGATGAAGGGGACCCTGGGGAGAGTCCGCCAGGTCGCAGATGGGACTGTGCAGCTGTGCCCTCATCTGGTGAAGGGGACGGGCACCCTCTGGGCCTTTAAGAGGCCCCTAATCCTACTCAGAAAGTTTCTTCTTCAGGGCCCAGCGCTGCAGCTGGGATCCAGTACGGCTGGCCAGTGAATGGCTCACTGTGTGGAAGGTGTGGCTGCTGATGGGCCTGGCGGGGCGGGGACGGTGTGACTGGGGCCCACGCCATGCTGCTTAGGCCACAGGGACGCAGAGCCAGCTGTGTCCACAGAACAGCGGCAGTGAGGCTGGTCCAGCCTCCCACGGGGCCCTGACCAGGCTCCTGACTGTGGCCGAGCACAGGCAAGCTGGGGTCAGCGCGCCCTAGGGGAGAGATCCCTTGCACAGGTGGCATCCAGAGAAGGCGTGGGAAGCCCCTGACTTATAGGGAGCAGGAGCTGTGGAGGAAATGGAGACTGTGCCAGGCTTCCGGTCAGAGCTGCAACCCAGCAGAAGTCAGGTGGGGTGTCCCTGAGTGCCAAGAAACCATACCCCATGTCAAGAAGCTGGGAGGTGACCCTGGGGTGAGGACGCATCCCTACATTTATGTTTCACAGGCCCCGGGATATAGACAAACTAAATGAAGAAGCCAGCAGTGGTGATGCACGCCTGTCATCCCAGCTCTCAGGAGGCTGAGGCAGGAGAGTCCCCTGGAGTTCAGGGCCAGCCTGGGCTACAGAGTGAGTTCGAGGCACACACACACACACACACAAAACTAAATTTTCTAAGTGAGATCACGGGAGCCATGTGGCAGGATGGAAGAGGGAGCAGGCCCCAGTGTCCCTCTGACCTCTGATTTCCTCTTCAGATTTATTCTCCCTTGCAAGCGCCATGAAAGATTCCTGATGTCATCACGAAGGCGTGCCTGCAGGAAGGTCAAACTCAGACGCTTTTCTCTTCCTGTTCTCCTCGACTTCCCCCAAGCACTAGGCAAGCTCCGCTGTGGCCTGAGCCAGCATCCTGCACCCTGCAGACGCCATCCACCTGGGGGCAGCAGCAGATCGCAGGGGAGGGCTTGGCCCCACCTCTGCCCCCAACTCCAGGGCCAACCTCATCCCCTCTCCTTGGTGAATGGCTGTACACCAGGGCTCCCCACCCCGAGTTCAGGGTTTATGCCACAGGCCCAGAGAATCCAGGGAAACACCTGCTTGGGGTCGAGGCTCATGGTCCGGGTGTCACAAAGCACAGGGGAAGAGACGCCTAGCGCAAGGGGCAGGGGAGGGCCCAGCCGCCTCCCTCTCGGGGACCCGAAGCTCCCCAGTCTGTGCTGTGGGGGTTTCTGGAGGCTCCTTCCTTGGGCACGGTGGCGAACCTGCCGCCCTCTCCCTGGAGGCCAGATCTCTAAGCCTGCGGGGTCCCTCCTGGAACCGGCCCCATCTTGAAGCCACCTGGGTGCTGCCAGCCCGCAGTCAGCTCACGGCACCCAGGGCACCCAGAAGGACATCACTCAGCCCTCAGGGCTCCAGGGACTCCCGGAGCCTCCTGCCAGCAGCTGGGGTGCAGAAGGACTCCTCTCTCAGGGCAGCACAGAAGTTACACAGCAAGGTAACATTGTTGCCATTTTATGAGTATACTAATCCTCTGAAATTCAGCCCTGCCTTCTCTCTCCCAGGGCTGGAAATCAGCTCATCAGAGCTCTGTTAAGACAAAAACCCCTCCCCTCCCAGGGTTCCAGGAAAAGGAGCATTACAACTTTCACCATCTTATGGTGGCAATTATAGGGTGGCCTCCCCTGGGCTCAGGAGGAGGAAGGAAGGGAAAAGGGAGGAGGGAAGTGGAAGGGGAAGGGGGGGAGAAAGGAAGGGAGGAAGGGAGGGAGAGGGGGAGAAAGGGCATCAAGACAATTGGTTCTTATTTTTGAGACAAATTCTCATGTAGTTCAGGCTGACATCCTCCTGCCTCAGCCTCCCAGGTGGTGCCAGAGGGCGCTTCTGGGTTTCTCGCTGCCGGAAGCACTGCCATTATTGATTGTTAGCCTTCCCGGAAGAACAGGGGAATATGCCAGGGCCCCTGTTTCTAAAAGGAGCGATTTCACAGTTGTCAGAGGGCAGACAGTCTGGAATCAGGTCACACTGGCAAGTAGGGAGAGAGGGAAGGGAGGCTGTGCCCCAGAGAACACAGATTCCAGCCTTTGACCTGTTTTCCAGGCAGGCAAACTCCGATGAGGTCCTAAGATCCATGTTCTAATACACATTTGAAGATAAAGACTGAGGTGCTTAAATCTTCAGCCTCTGCATGTCAAGCCTAAAAATCAAGTTTTGGAGATAATTTAGTGATCTGAAATCAAATTTAAGTGTGCATTCATATTTCTTTCTTCTCTCACCCTCTTTCATTTTGTGGGTTTTCTTTTGCTTGTTTTTTGAGACAGGCTCTCACTATGTAGCTGAGACTGACCTGGAACTCACTGTGTAGCCCAGGCTGGTCTCGAACTCACAGCGATCCTCCTGCCTCAGCCTCCTGAGTGCTGGGATTACATGTCACCACGCCCGGCTTTCTTTCATTTTGTTTTGTTTTTAGATACTATGTCTGGCTATGTGGTCCAGGCTGGCCTTGAACTCACTACGTAACCCAGGTTGGCCTCAAACTCCCAGTGATCCATCCTCCTGCCTCAGCCTCCCGAGTGCTGGGATTACAGGTGTGCACCGCCATGACCCCACTTCTCAAGTGAACGGCAATATCCTGCACCAAAACCAACAAGTCGACTCTCATCGCAAGGGAAGGGGGAAACTCTAAGGGGTAAAGTCTCCGAGACTGAAAAACAAAGACCAAAACCAAACCAAAAGACCCCTCAGTCAGCATCCCGTCCAGCCACTCACTGTGTTTGCGGCGCCTCAGGGAGCGGGGGTCCAGGCTGGGCAGGTGCTCTCTGGGGTCCTGAATGCCATGACAGACACAAAGCCCGGCTGGAAAAGTCCGTGGCGTGAATGTGCTCTGCGGTCCTCACCATCTCCCAGGGGCTGCGCTCTCAGCCTCACACGCAGAGCGGCGACTGTCGGCTCCCTCTGCCCACCCAGGGATGGGTCGTCGCTGCCTTCGTCAGGGATGGCACTGGACCCCGTGTTTGTGGCTACTGCATGGACAGGGGTTACTGGGGGAAGCCCGAGCACGACCTGCTAGGACCAAGCCCTGGCATCGTCCTGGTGGCCTCAGCCTCTCCTTGTCTGAGGCCCTGGGAGAGACCTCCCTGCCTCTGCTTCACAGTCCCGAGCGAGCATTTGGTCTCATGGCGTTTACCACATCTCTCTCACTGACAGGCAAGTAGAGTCAAGGACAGCAGGCAGCTGGAGAGGCCCTGGGCCCAAGGGGGAGTCTGGGCAACCAGGCCTCGACAGCCAAGCAGGAGCCCGAGGTCAGAGCTAAGAAGGACCAGGCGGACAGCGAGGCCAGGGAACGAGCAGGCTCGGGGACAGCCAGGAGACGGTGCCGCTGTGACAGCCCCGCTCCTGCAGGTCCGGAAAGCGTTTTCTCCTTCTCATTTTGTTCCTTTCATGAACCACCTGGTCCGACAGCAGCCGAGAGGCCCCTGCAGACCCAGGCCGCCCGAGTGCCTGCGCTGGCTTAGTCCTGGGGCCTCCAGGCAGCCCCGCCCTGCCAGCCTCTTCACTTCAGCCCGGTGCTGTGGATCCAGACTTCTGGCCTGCACAACCACGAGCGAATAAACTCCTGTTTGAAGCGTGGTGAAGCGGTCGCCATCGGCCCAGGCTGGATACTGAAAGGGTCACGCTCAGGGCAGACAACTTAGATCTCTGGGTAGGTGTTCGGGACTGTCTGGGGCAGAGTTGGAGAAACGCTGGCGTCCAGGGAGGCTGGCTGGGAACCCCACACCGACCTCCTCCACCGAAAAGGAAGGCTCTGTTCAGCACCAGCACTGCAGGGAGAGGTTCGCAGTATGAGGAATCTCACAGCGTCGGAGGCCGGCAGAACACAGTTCCTGAGGGAACAGAGTCAGCGGAGGCGGCTGGCCCAGGACGCACCCTAGCCACGGGCTAGAGCCCTGGCTACTCGGCCTTGGTACCACAGGGCACGTGAACCCGGGAGACCTTGGCCTAAAGCAACCAGAGGAGCAGCACAGGCGTGATTGGGGTGCAGCTGAGCCTCAGAGGGAGCGGCCCTGAGTGGGTCCTTGGAGGAATAACGCACCCCACAGTCTGACGGGAAGCAGAGAGGAGGTGAAGCTGGGGGGTGCCCTGGGGTGGAGCAAAGCTATCCCCAGAAGCACTGGGCATACAGCTCTGGGGTGTCGGCTGGGTGTCTCTGGGAACCATGGGAGGGTCACACCCAGCCACAGGGCAAGCTGATCCCAACCGTAAAAATGGGTCAGATCCAGGGCTTGGTGATCACAGCACCTGGGAGGCCGAGGCGAGAGGGTCACCACAAGTTCAAGGCCAGCTGGCCTACACAGCGAGTTCAAGCCAGCTTACATTACAGAGCAAGACGCTTCTCAAAAGTGGGGGGCTGGGGATTTATCTCAGTGGTTCCGGAGCCTGTCTCCCAAGCGGAAGGACCCGAGTTCAATCCCTGGTACCACAAAAAGTGGAGGGGGGGTCAAAGGTGAAACTGAGCAGCACAGACCGAACAGAGTTGGGGGCGGGGATCAGAGCAGCGCTGGCGAGGATGGGACCGGGCGACAGTTGGGTAACGGGGCAGACAGCAGCCGCCCAAATAGGACAGAGCGAGGGAAGGGGAGGTGGAAGGGAAGGCAGGGCGCAGGCGGGGGCGGAGCTGGGAACTTGCTGGGTGCACGGCAGCAGACTAAAGCCAGGCGTCCTGAATGAACAAACCTTCTCGGGCGGGGCTGCCCTGTGCAGAAACACCTGCGCTTCCACCTCAGCAGCTCACTGCACAGTGCCAGGCCGAGGAAGGCAGGAGGCACACAGCGGCCGCACGCTCTGGGAGGATGAGCCCAGGGGCACCTGGGCAAGAGGCAACAGAGAAGCCGCACTGGAAGCTTGGAGCACCGGGGGAGGGTCAAGCCCAGAGGGGCTGAAACGTCAGCGACTCCATTTATTCACTTGTTTGAGACAGGCTCTCTCCGCAGTGCAGACCCGCCTTGAACTCACCAGGTAGACCAGACTAGCCTTGAACTGAGAGCCTCCTGCCTCAGCCTCCCAGTGCTAGGATCACAGGCGTATACCACCACGCCCATCTCCGTGGCTCTTTCAGCCACGGAGTGTGTGAGTCGGAAGAGTGGGTGGTGGGCCCAGCTGCAGGTCCTCATGAGGGTGAACGCTCCCTCAGGAGCCAAGGACAGCCTGCAAAGCTTCTGTGAGGAAGTTAGGAGGCCTCTCACTCTTCCCCAAGATCACTTGAGCCGCAAAGCCAGAATAAAGGGGGCAACTGGAGGCTGGGAGCCGACCAGAGGAGCTGGAGGAGTAGGGCAGACAACTTGGTGACAGGCTGATCCCTGGAGGTTCAGGAAGAGCGCAGTGGAGCCCGGCTCCAGGATCAGGTTCCTGGGTGACTCCCTGTGGCGGTGTGGCTCAGGAAGCTCAGCGTAAACCTGGAGGGGCGGAGGAGCCAACAAGGGAGGCAGGAGGCAGGAAAGCCAGGCAAGGACACCTGAGCTACCAGTTCCAAAGAAGGAAGTAGTAAAGGGTCACCAGCTAGACGGCAGACAGGAAGGTCTCTACTGATGCTCCATTTACACTGGAGACACCACAGGGCACAAAGCCCTCTTTAGTGCAACCCTGTAATCCCAAGACTTTGGGAGGCTGAGGCAGGAGGATCGCCGGTTCAAGCCCAGCCGGTGCAACTCATTGACTTAGGGAGTCCCTGTCTCAAAGCAGCAAGTGCATCCCAGGCACCCTAAAACTCAAGGGCCTTTAAAAGACACAATTACCTTCAAGCCCAAGGCCCTTCTCATTTCGCAGCCACACAGCTCAAAACATGAAGATATTCTTGCAAGTTCCCAAACAGCTGGAGACATGTTTACGGCGCAAGAATTTTTGGACTGACAGTCTTCGAAATTAGTGAAACAGAAACCACTGACAACAGAGCTGTAGGTTTGAGGAGAACTTTTTCATAGGCGGGAGCCTAATGCAAGATTATTTCTTACGTACTCGCCAAACACGTCATACACGCCGGAAAGGCATTAAAACCGATTATAAAATCCAGGCATTCCCACTTTGGAAGGCAGGCCCCAAGCCGCTGTAGGCCTTGGAGAACACGTCCCGCCGTCCTGTGCACGCGAGCTGCTCTGCAGTCTGGCATTTCTGCGATTCGGTCTGGTTTTGAAGGCGTTGTCACAGTCGTGCAGCGAAAGGAAGCCCACGAGATACCGTGGGGGGACGGGCACTGCGGAAATCGGACTGCGCCCCTGCTGCCGGACTCCTTTTAGGAGAAGCGGGCGAGCGCGCGTCTCTCGCCCCGGGCCTGCCCGGCCGGGTTCGGGGAATTCACAAGA